TCCAGGCCATTAAAGGTGCCGAGCGCTGGCAGAGTCGTATCATAATTAGCTGGGAGAAAGATCATTAATGATCGCGGTGCGGGACCGGGACCCCTGTGTCTAATTGGATAACATGAATTTATTTTTATTTCATTTAACTCGGACGCAGCATCTCCGGCCGGAGAACGCAAGAACCCAAGAAGCCAAGAACCAAAGAATCCAGCGGACAAACAACCGAAATTTTAATGGCGACTGGCCAATGAACTTCCCTCTCACCATATTTCTCGTTTCTTTCATCGGACTTATTGCATGTGAATTTGTCCAAGACGATTATATATTTTGTGGTAGGTTTATTGTTGTCCGAATTTAAATTTTGGTCCGACTCTGGGACCGGGCACACACATAATGAAGCCATAAGCCGCCATTTCGGCCATAAACCCATTTGAATATTAATTTTGTTAATTAACTTATTCAAATTCGGGAATCGTTAAAAATGGAAGAAATTCTTTTTATGGCTATAGCTCTATTTCTTCCTAAAAAAACGAGGGAATGGCGAGGAGAGAGGCAATCCCAATGAAAGGCTTTATTGTCGGCGACAAAAATACAAATTATTCACGATAATTGTGACACCCACTGAACCGATCTTCCCACGATAATAGAGGTTGGGAATCGGGCTATGGAATAAGTCATTGTGAATTTTTAATATTTTCTTTGTATTGTTTGAACTGGGATTAATGTTTGATCGTCTCTAATGAAGGCAATATTGCTCTATTAAAAAATAATTCTTTGAAAGACCAGTGCTTTGTATGAAAAAACATTGCTCAGAGCTAAAAATATCACAACTATTTCTAATGCGCTCAGAATTATACTGTGCAAGAGATAGATACTCTCTTCTTTTTTCCCTATAAAACATCCAATAAGATTATAAAAACAAGCTATGTTTGAATCTCTTTTAAATATATATTTTTATAATTGATATTTTTTATCAGTTATCAAAAAGTAAGAAGTTTGTATTATTAATAGCTAATGGTATTTTTCATTGAAATAAAATAAAATGAAGAAATCATAGCATCGATCATCGCATTTGTTCCTGTGTGAAAGGAAAATGCATAAAAACTGTAAACACTCGAGCAACTTCATTCCGAACAAATCGTTTGCGTTTCCCATTTCCCTTTTTCCCCGCCCAGAAGGAACTGCAGTCAAATGATTTTACGAGAGAGCTGAGTGCGATCAAAGCGAAAGCGAAACTCTTGAGGGACACATGGGGCAAGTTTCTCCGGAGTGGAGTGGAGCGGGGTGGAGTGCAGTTGGGCATGAAAGTACAGACCGTCGAAGGGCAGGAGTTGACTTTGACCCTGACACCGCCATCGGGAGATCCGAGTGTGTATCTGTGAGTGTTGCACAATGCAAATGCGAAACGAGAAACAAATTTTACGACGTGTTTGACGGCTGTCTGTCGCTGCTGTCTGCGTGTCTCCTTGTCTTACTGACTCTGACATTCATTCCCATTCCCTTTCCCTTTCCGGACCCGGCGCTGACTTCCGCACAGACTTGAGCCCCGTCCCTGCGGGAAATCGAGGCATCCTTCATCCTGCGTCCTGTTTCCACGGCCCTCGTCCCTGGTTGGCTGCCAGTTTAGTCCGCATTATTACCTGCGCGGTGTCAAATGCAAACAAGACGTTTGCGCCGGCCATAAAGACGGCTTCCTCCGGCCCTTCTTTCTTTTTTTAGGACAGGGAAAATGGCCAGCTATGATGAGTGGCGCCTCGTTGCAGCAAGCTCTTATTGATGGACCTGCAGTGGCTTACTTACTAAACTTGTGACATTTCTTCTTTGCAGTACTCGAAACGGAGGAGTCCGGTGGAGTAGATCCATCCCGAATCCAGCAGCGACTGCCCCACCGAGCACCGACCCAGGATCAACTCTCAGCGGTGGCGTCCGGCCAAAACCACCTCCTTGCGCCGACAGCGGCAAGCACTTCTCCCTCCAGTGTCAGTTCCCATCCTCCAGGTAAGCTATAAGTCCGGTTAATCCTCCATTAATCAGATAAGTATTAATAGCCGTAAAACTAAAGTCTTGGGAATGCTAAGAGACATTTTAATATGCTGTGTAAAATATTTGGGATGAGCTCGTGTGAGCTGCTTCTGAGCTGATCACTTTACATTATCTAAATAGAGAAATACCTGTACTTAGAGCCAATCTATTATTCATATTGAAATATATATTGTATATTTTTATGAAAAAGAATTTTATAAAAAAGATGTCCTGTAAAATAGAGAAATGTTGGAATTCCCAACCAAAAAAAATATAAATAAAACTTTGGTAATATTTATTATTAGTCAAAATAAATAAGAAATTTTAGTATGGTTAATGAAAAAATTTCTGCATTCACTCCTTGAAGTAGTTCCGATAGGCTACATAGTTTTTAAAAATAAATTCCAAACTAAAATTTAACGTGTATTTTAAGTGAATAAAAGTCCTAGCAAAGCTATCAAAATATTTATTGAAATCAAAACTGATTCTATAATAAAATATAGGACATTTGTTATTCAAAATGAAAGTGCTCACATGTGATTTAATGCACGAAATAATAATATTCTACTCGAGATGCCATGATTTCTGACATTTTCTCTAACCCCTGTTTAAATGTATTATTGTAATTGCTGAAGATGGATTTTATGCGATGTAACAAACGGGTTGAGAGTTGCCCTCGTCTTGTCCTTTTTACGATTTGTTAACATTTCTTTGCCCTCGACTCCGAGCCTTTCTATTTCTTCCAATGGCAATTGCCATAAAATTCCCATAATTGTCCATTGCAGCGTTAAATTTGGCAACTGCCGCTCGAAGCGGGAAAGGGACGGAAATCCGTAGAAATGTTCGGGGGAAAGAATAGAGAGAGCTAGGGATAGGGGTGAACACAAAGACCCGGGGATTCTTGGCAATTGTGCTGTCATAATTTACTGACTGAGCTGGCGCACGCTTGTATTTGTTTAGCTAATTACCATTAATTAGTCACTTTCCTTTGATGACTCGAATAATTAGTTCGGATCCTTGGTCTTGGCAAAGTGAATTTATTCGGATGTTGCTGCTGTGCCAATCGATAAAAAAGCGCCAACTAACTACACACAATGTCGTGCGACCTACCACGCCCCCGCCCCCATCCCACCGAAATCTCGGCCATAGATGGCGCTGTGGTGCGCGCGTGTTAAGTATTCAAATCAGCCCCCAAAAACGGGCAATAAGAGCGGGCGGTGAGTCAGAGAGCGGATTGCGAAGAGCGGAGGCCTTCACACGTACACTGTGCGTGTGTGTTTCGCCCTCGGTGACCCTCGGTGACTTGGAGCACCTGCTGAGCTCAGCGAATTCCAATCCCAGTCCCAGTCATTGTGATACCATCTCTACTTCAAACTGGCTAGTTGAAAAAGTGGTATTTTTTTATTCCCCCAAAGTCCCCCTGGCAATATCTAGAACTCTCTTTGTTCCCCCCTCCGCTCCCCGCCAACTCACACAGTCTGGGATCCACACACACGCTGTATACAGTGTACGTGTGCATAACGCGCCACAAGAGAGCACCGAAGCACCGCAGCAACTAGCAACCACCACCAGCAGCAGCAGCAACATCAACGGCACAGCAGCAACATCCACTTCGGCGCATGTCCGCGCTCTCTTCGAGTCACACGGACAGGGACGGACAGGAAGACACACACACACACAGGCGCAGGCTGGCGCCGCTGCCTTTTGTTGGCCTCTTGACTCTTAAGGCGAGACAGGGAGAGCGAGAGAACGCCACCGCTTCTGGTTCTGTGTTGTCGGTGTGCCGTGCCAGCGATATGTTGTCGCCGTGCGTTGCTGCTTGTCAGTGTAGATTTGTGCTTCGCTCTGTTCGGTTGGAAGGCGCGCGGGCGTCCAGCAGCAACAGCAACAACAGCAACGCCAACGGCAACAACAACAGCAGCAACACCCAAGACAAGCGGCCCTGCAACTTCGTCGAGGACTGGGACTTGAGCGATTTCGTACTCGCCGTCCATTCATCTTGGAGTGTTCCGTACGCACGGTTCAAAAATACAACTTGAAAGTTAAAAATTAAAATGAAATAAGACAAACGCTTTTGGAATCTTACAAAATATTAAATGAAAAAGCTAAAATCAAAATCAAAACACCAAGTCCCCCAGCGATGTGTGGAGAAAAAATAACATTTTTGTTAACTGTTGCAAACATTGCGTTTAATTGTTTGTTTTGGTCGTAAAATCAAATTTTATGACCAGCAACATAAAAAAAAGCGAACGCCAGCAGCAGCAGCAGCAACAACAACTACTGCAGGCCTCCAAATAATAAAAAACTATTTATGATAATTATAAAAAAAGAATAATAAAAACAAAGGCGAGCCAAAAGGAAAAAGTGTAAAGAAAACTTTAACTAAAAAAGGGAAAATTGGAAAATTTTTGAAAATTGGACTAACTAACTGAAAACTGAAAAAAGCCAATTTGAAAATATTGCGTGAGTTTCTGGCGACCGCGAACACCCTGTGAAACCGAAACTGATTCGATCCCCTGTGCAACAACAAAGTGACTCTCTTCGCCCGCTCTTTAAGCTGTGTGCGTGTGTGCGTAAGTCGGCGTGTGCGTGTGACCGCTGACCGGAGTCTGTGTGCGTGTGCGGTACGCGAATAAAAGGGGCAGCAAAATACACAAACTTTACACAGCTTTGGATATTAAAAAGGAAATTAAATTCAGAGCACATAAAAAATAAAATATAACTTATACAGTCAAAGAGGAGTCAATTGGGAGAGTGAGAAAAAGACAAAGACAGAGGTCGGTGGGTCGAGGCGATCGACCCCACTGCACCGCCTTAACCCTCGCCGCCGCAGTTCGAGTGCAACGCGTCCAAGATAACCGTAAATATTCCACCCCTCCCCCAGACCCCAACCATCCCGCTGGCGTGCGCTCTCTACGACCCCCACGATGTCTCGGCAGTCGGGTCGCACGCCGCTGCCGGGGCGTGGTGGGGGCATCACACACACACCCACACCCACGTACCCTCCGCCCACCCGCATCCGCACCCGCATCCGCATCCCCAGGCGCATCCCTCGCTACCCGCCATGCAGCAGCACCACCTGCAACAGCAGCAGCAGCAGCAACAACAGCAGCAGCAGCAGCAACAGCAGCAGCAGGAGCAACAGCATCTGCAGGAGCAGCAGCATCTGCAGCAACTGCACCACCATGCGCACCACCACCTGCCTCAGCCTCTGCACACCACCAGCCATCACCACAGCGCGCATCCCCACCTGCAGCAGCAGCAACAACAGCAGCAGCAGCAGCAACATGCAGTCGTCGCCTCTTCGCCCTCCTCGGTGCTCCAGCAGCAGCAACAGCAACAGCAGTCGACTCCCACCACACATTCCACGCCCACGCATGCGGTCATGTACGAGGATCCTCCACCTGTGCCAATTGTCGCCGTGCAGCAACAACATCTTCCCGCACCGCAGCAGCAGCAGCACCCACAGCAGCAGCAGCAACAGCTGGCGACAACACCGGTGGCCGGCGCCCTTAGTCCCGCCCAAACACCCACTGGACCCTCCGCCCAACAACAGCAACAGCAGCAGCAGCAACATCTCACATCGCCCCACCACCAGCAACTGCCGCAGCAGCAACAGACCCCAAATAGTGTTGTCAGTGGCGCCTCCGCGAGTCTCCAGCAGCAACAGCAGAATGCTGCAGTCGCCCCTGGCCAGACACAGATCGTTGCGCCGACCACGGCCAGTGTTTCTCCCTCCAGTGTTAGTTCTCAGAAGGAAGGTGAGGTCCCAGAAATATTGCCATCCATGGGGTTGCAACTTAAATGAAATCCCTATTGGAAACTAAAATGTCGATGGGGATAATTAAATATCTTGGGGATAGTGAAATATTTAAGATTTCCTACCTTATTAAAAATTAAAAAAAAGAGGGAAGCTCTGTTAGAAAGATTCTGTAAAATTTCAGAAATTATTGAAATTATCGAAATTCTATTGCAAACCTAAAAGCTTTTTAGAATATAGCAAGGCCACTTTTCTAAAAATCTTGGGAAAAATGCATTTCTATTTTTGTGTCGCAATTGCAATGAGTGTTCTACTTTTGTTGATTACAGCACGCTTGAAAAGTCTGATAAGGGTTCTCTTGACCTCTCTTATGAAACTTCACGCATTTATTTGTTTAAAGGAAAATTTGTGTACCTATTTTATTCAACAAATGGTTCCATTACCAGTTATTAACACTTCGAAATTCAAATTCAAAGCCAAAACATTTCTGAGACTCGGTCCGTTTTTTTAAAGCATAAAAAATGTGGATTAATAAAATTATTTTATCCTAAATTTTTAAAAACTTCATTTTTAATCGCATAATTAATATAAAATAATCGATGGAGAAATAGTAGGATTGGACTTAATTTCTTATTTAATAAAGTATTTCTAAAGAGATTTTTCTCGAATGGGAAAATATTTTAATAGATAAGGCATACAAAAAATTGTAATCGAACAGCATCCTTAACCAAGACTATTATTTAACAAATGAGTTAGGGGTTACTTCAATATTAATTTAAACATTTTGACGTGTTGAAAACCTGGTAAGCAAATATCACACCAAGTAGTGATAATGCAACTACGATTAAGTAGCCCGTGAATGGGGTCGAACTAAGCTATCATAAATAGTCATAAATTTAAGATTTAGCCGACTTTGAATAAACATTAATAGCATCCAATCCACGTTCTGCGTTTGCTTTCAGACATCAATATGTCCATCCAATTAGCGCCGCTGCACATACCCGCCATCCGGCCCGGTCCGGGATTCGATTCGGACGCCTCGGCGGCGGTCAAGCGGCACACGGCCCCCTGGCCCTACAACGACGACTTCAACCAGTACCACGCCTCCGCGTCGACGTACTACGACCGCAAGCACATGTTCTCCTACTACCCAGAGACCCAGTTTCAGGTGAGTGTCCGAGGTCGCCACGCCGCCCACAACCCCCCGCTTTGCCGTTAACAACTCGGTCCCAACCCAACCCCACTCTCACCTATTCGCAGCAGTACTGGCCGCCCAACTACCGCGCTGATCAGACGACCTCCGCGGCGGCGGTGGCCTACATGAACGACGCGGAGCGCCACGTGAGCGCCGCCGCCCGCCAGTCCGTCGAGGGCACCTCGACGTCCAGCTACGAGCCGCCCACCTACTCCTCGCCGGGCGGACTGCGCGCCTATCCCAGCGAGAACTACTCCAGCTCAGGTGAGTCCCTCGAAAGTCGGCACATGCACATTTAAGCGCGACGAGGCTGGCACACGGAAAAAAATTTACATATCTTTCAAAAAATTGTTTTTTTAATGCGAGAGTATTTGTTTTTGTTTTGATATAACATTCTTCCATTCATTCCAAAACTTGATAAAAGGTATATGTTTAAAATTTTCGGACCATAAAATAAATATGTTATGTGTTATTATATGTTTTAAAATATTTATTTGAGTGAAATTTCAAAGAATAATAAGCTCTTAAAAATAATCGGTTTCGAATTAAATATTTTAAAAAATTTTTAACTAATGACATTGGATATATATTTAAATTACAGACAGTTTTTGATTGACAATTTCTATGAAATATATATACAATATATGTATATTATCTTTAAATTATAAAATTAGATTTTATTTGTATTTCATCTTATTGTTTTTTTTAACAAAAGTAAGTTGATTTAAAAATATTCGAACTGGTTAAATCAAGATTCCAAATTAAACTTCATTTGTTAAAAAAATGTTAGTAAAAATTAAAATATTCACACGTTGATTTAAGTTATTTCCAAAGTAGGATATTTTTATTCCATTATCTAAATAATGAAACCCAAGCTAATCCAAAAATATATAGTATGGTCATCTTGCTAAGACAAAACAAAATGGAAAGCAATGTGTAATTTTTCCCATGTGCATTTAACGTTCTGCCTCTGTTGTGTTGCCTATTTTGTCACCATATCGGTTGGAATAGCGAATTGCGAAACCGGCAAGTTTGCCGTTCAATTAGCGTAGTGCAAAACAGCCCATAAATCGATTCTCGCTATTTGGCTAGCGTTACGCCTTAATGTGGGTGTGAAAGTCATTGGAAGTGCATTCTATGGGGGCTGCCTGTTTATGTTTGCGTCTTATCACCAGAAGTTTTCAAGCCGCCAGAACCGCCAAAGTATCTGTCAACTATTCATATTTTCCTGGGTATTCCCCAATACTAAAGACATGTATTTATCGCGGTATATATCATTAAGGCAGTCGTTTCCACGGCCTTTCCCGCCAATTTTACAACTATAATGAAGGTCTTTTGGGAAGTTTTACTCTTAGTCTGGCAGCTTATAAATATTCAAAATTAAAGTCAACCACTATTGAATTATTATAAAATACAAATTTCAATAATTTTAGGATATATATCTATTTATTTTCAAAGAAAAAAATATAAAATAAAATGTTTTTGCATTAATTGTATAGTAAAATCATCTCCAGAGAATTTGGCTTGCCACTCAAGCCAGTGATCAAACTATCATTTGAATGAAAATAAATCCAACTTGTCACTTATTTTGTACATTAATTTAATTGCTTCATTTGAGTGACCAATGAGCGGGAACGAGTGCATTCATTAAACATTACCCACTTGGGTGTGAATGGGCCTCATGCCAATTCGGAGCTCCGCTCCCCGTACCGCACCAATTAAGGGGCCATAAACGCTGAATTGAATAATTTTGTATTACGCTTATTGCTAAACAATTTCCTTAATTGCTCTATAAACTTAACGATCTGATATTGCAACGAACACAACAACATCAGCGGACCACCCGCACTTTTTATATGAATTAAAACATGTGGTTAAACTCTATAATTTTTGTGATATTTTAGGAGCCTCCGGTGGATTGTCGGTGGGTGCAGTGGGTCCTTGCACGCCCAACCCGGGACTGCACGAGTGGACCGGCCAGGTGTCCGTCCGGAAAAAGCGGAAGCCGTACTCCAAGTTCCAGACCCTGGAGCTGGAGAAGGAGTTCCTCTTCAACGCGTATGTGTCCAAGCAGAAGCGCTGGGAGTTGGCCAGGAATTTGCAGCTGACCGAGCGACAGGTGAGTGGTGCATAACTAAATCATCATGGTTTAAATGCTAATAACTACCCCTTTTCTAGGTCAAGATATGGTTCCAGAATCGCCGCATGAAGAACAAGAAGAACTCGCAGCGGCAGGCCAATCAGCAGAACAACAACAACAACTCGAGCAGCAACCACAACCACGCGCAGGCGACCCAGCAGCACCACAGCAGCCACCACCTGAGCCTCGGCCTGAACATGGGGCACCATGCCACCAAGATGCACCAGTGACCCTTGGACAACAGCAGCGCGGGCGCCATGGGCTTTGCCACCTACTAGCAGTTAGCCAACCCGAGTTCGGGGAACCCCAACTCGAATCCCAACCCCAATCCCATGTCCGATCCGAACCACCACCATCAGATCAAGAACGAGCTGGCCATGGACTTTCCGTGTTAGCCCAGCGATAGAGAGACTCCAGCCAGTGGGTGAAATGTACAAAAACCAGAGATCTCTAGGAGGCCGGATGGGAATAGGTAGCCAGGAGGAGGATGATGAGGATGCGGAGGAGGAGGAGGAGTATCTGCCCAGGATTGCGCAGGCGTCGCTGATGTGAAGTGACCAGCACCCGACGTTGATGGAGACGCAGTTTATTATTAAGTCAGTTCTACGGACCTAAAGAGGTCCACACCCAACACGATAATGCAGCTTAGTTCGGTAGTTGAATATAGATACGAGTAAGATGAAGAAGCAGCAGTAGCAGATGCACTTGAAATTCGCAACTGTACGAAAATATATGTATGTACGTATTTCTCTCAACGCTCTCATTAACCTAGGCGAGCACTATGAATTTTCCGAACTATAAATTATGAATATGAATATATTTAAACGTCAGTGAATATAACCCCGCATAAATTATGAATACACGCGTTCGAGTAGTAGATTTTACCATACTATCCATGTAAGAGCGGCCGAGTTAGGCAGAGAGCACATTGTAGACCCAGCTAAATGTTCTTCAAACAAAAAACAAATTGTTTAACAATTTTCGGACCCCCACACCCCCGCAAACACACACACACTCCGCAGTCTAGGATAAATTTTGTCGTGTAATGTTCGTCGTGTCGTGTCCTTTGATACCTTCTAAGTTCCTGTATATAAACTAAGACATCGCGCTGATTTCCGGCCGAAGCAAGCACTCGATAACTAAATTAAAGCAGATATATATTGCGTACCCGCAGAGATATTCAATATGTGTATGATATGAACTCGAGCTCGAGCTCGAACTCGAACTCGATTTTAGCAAATGGTAACTCGTAAGTCGCAAAATTTCAATGAGTGTGTGCATGTTTACTCCATAGTTGAAGTCGCTTTCGAATTAAATTAACTCTAAAACCAAGAAAACAAAACAAACCTACTCGTAAAGCTAAAGCAACAAAAACTAAAGAGAAATACATTTAACTGAAGTAAGCGAGTGTGAAAACGATGGAGGGGAGATGTCGAGGAGGAGTAATTAGCATACCGTAACAGCTACTTATATAACTTACACATAGTACATATAGTAATCGTACATATGCATACATATATTTTCATGTGTATCGACGCCGCTTGATCCTGATATTAAGTCTAAGTTTAGTTGTGTTGTGTAATTATCGATTTTGTTAATGTTTTGCCCCGAGCATTATATTATTATGCTAAACCTATACCTACACCTAAACCTACACCTATGCCTATCATTATATGTGTATAATTAGCCTATACATACTTGATGAAGAAATGATTTCACCCACTGCTTTATTCATGTTCTTGTATTATTATTATTTCGAGCCCTCGATAAGTTGTAGTCTAAAGTCGGTTATGTTTATGATTATGTTCGATTATAGTTTGTTTAGTGAATTTTAATCTAGCGTTAGCAATTCTCTTTTTTAAAAAGTTAATTATTGTGAATAAAATACAACAAGTTGCAGCAGTGCAAAAATATACACACAATTCAAAAGTATCCCAACTACTTCGTGGCTTTATAATGGCCGCACTACATCACTACATTTTGATTCGTTGATTCGTTGACTTCTTGACATTTGTTCTGTTTTTCCACCTATTATTTCGGTAAGTACACCAAAGAGGAGGATGTTGACACATCGCGAGTGACCTCTCACCATCGAATTTATTCATAGACATCCAGATACTCGTTCTCGTACAAAACGTAAAGCTAAATACGTATGTACTGCACCTATTCGTAAGCAGATCAGTTCGTAGTCGCCACTCTCTCAGCCAAAAAGAAAAAGTAATGCTTTCTGATCATTAAACGAACACTCTCTAAATAATTTTATCTTCTCGTACAATTTTCTTTATTGTCCTTGGTTTATTGAGTTTCTGTTACAATCTTTTTTCGCCACTGGTATTGTAATACAGCGCTTAAATAAATTAAAACTAGAATTAATAGTCTTGTTTCGGCATATGTCTTAAGATTAAATAAATTATTATGTAACTGTGTTTTCTGAACTTTTCTTAATGTTAGAAAGTGTTTTTGATTTCTTGGTTTAAAGGTAGGTAATGGAAAAGATTTTCAGTTTTAATGTTTGAATTTTATGACTGAATCAAATGGTATCAAACCGTTGAAGTTGATAATAAATATTAATTTGGCTTCCTTATATTCCGTTTATAGCACTTTGAATCACTGCAACCAATTGATAATTGACTATTAATTATTTAATAATGTGTATTTGGAAAATATACTTGGTTAAGCTGCAAAACCAAAGTCAAGATGGATTTGTTGCACAGCTGTGCAAGATATCACTTTATGACAAATGGATTTAATTTTACTTTTGGAATTTGCGGTGGGGCAGTCTTAGCACCTAAGAACTTTATTTCTTTTAGTTTTTTTAATGACCAGCTGAAGGTATTCCTGTTCATCTAATTTTGTCCCTGGACAATTGTCGGCTATTTGGTGGATTTGAAATTTCTAAGCAAAAGTGTCATTCAAATTTGTTGCTGACGAACTTTTTATTGATTCGTCATTGTGTTTTTGCATACATAAGGACTTATTGCCTTTTAAATGCACTCGAATACTTTTTGTTTTGCAACAGAAATTGCAGTCTTGGGGTACAATAAATTAAACCAAGTTTAATACTTGTATGGAAATAAAAGTTTTTTCTTTGGAATGAATTTTATACAGAGGTCAACTTTTTCACTTAATAATATAATATAAGTCTACTTAACTGGTACACAAATGATTAAGATTGCGTATATAAAAAGTATATTTTTGTAAGGAAAACATTGGCCAAGTAAAGCATTAAATTAGATATCTTTTGATCATTGAATTGTGTAGGTGAATAATTTAAGAGTATTAGGGTTTTATGGTTTGCGAAGTAAGGGTTCTCAAGTATTACCTAGTTGATCTCTAAGCCATTAAAAAGTTTTGTGAAAATAATTGTATATGATCTACAACTATCACAACAATTAAATATTTTATTTATATTTTGAAGCGTATATGCATAAAATCTATAAAGCTGATTCGATTTTTCAAAACATTTTTCGATTTTTCCAATGGCAGCCGTCCGTAATCTCATAGTATATCAACATATTTAAAAAAACAGCCAAGATAAAATTAAAATAAGGGTATACAATTTCGTATAAAAACTTTTTTTTTTAAAAAGCTTTTATTTTTAGTCCACGTTATTTTTTATCACTTCTCTACATATGTATATGCTATATGGGGTGCAGCGCACATTTACCTTATTCAAATAGTGATTATTAAATATTACTTTCAAAGTTTTAATTTTCAAGTGATCTGGGAATCTTTCCTTAAGCCTTGCAAAAGGTGACCCAAGCCTGTTCTTCTGAGACCTTAACATGACTCTTGACATAATTAAATGAGTGGGTTTCCTTAAAAAATATATTTTTTTTAATTCATGTCGATTACTGTGATCCAAATTGTCAAATAATGGCTTGGTAAACGTTGACGTTCCACTAATAAAACTCAGTTTATATCTACAAGCTTTTTTGATTAATTTGGTACACAAAGAAAACACTTGAACTTTTAAGATATTATTAAAACACTGGTGAATCTGCGAACCCTCAGTTAAAAAGCCCCTGCAACCAAATCATGGATCTGCTATTGGTCGAAACATTTTAAATAATTTAATGTCGTATTTTGTATGGAACAATTTAATTTTAAATGCTTAAGCTCTCAATTTAGAGTTTCTTTTTCCCAGTGTATTTATATGTAATAACCCCTGTGAATTTTTTTATAAAGTCACTCTTGTTAAATATCTTAAAATTTGTCATTTATCTATATCTATTGATATGAAGTAGGTATAAAGTTATGACTGTAATGATTATTTCCTTTAAAAAATATTAACCTTGTGCTATACCTAATTCCCTTTGCTAGAAGTTAGGCAATTGGAAAATACATAAGTTTCGTAGATTATGTAGTTGGAATTTGAAAGGCAAACAATTAAATAAAGACTGATTCTCTACGAGCTCTTGGCCTTAATGAATGTGTGTATAAATAATGCACATAGCTAATGGGATGCGATGGGATCGATCAAAATGTTTTCAAAGGTTTTTAAAGTTTTAAATTAAAACTAACAAATCATTATAAGAATCAAATATTTGCATAGATAATTGCCTTCTCTTTGAGTCATAAAAACAAGCCCCGCAATCTCATGTTTGTTTAAATGGCATTCAACCCCTGCCAAGGGGTTGGACGAAGCAAACCCGATAAATGCATACACACATATATACGGAGGTGTTCGTCCACATATTTATGTACCTTCTGACACACAGATGTATCTACCTACATAAATTTAAATAAGTTTTCATCGATGGTGAGCTTAGAGGCTTCTGGGGAGGAATACACCATAAAATGCACCCTGCTATGTAAACACTGGCATTTCCCCTCTTCGAAGGTTCGCAGATTGCGAGATAAAGTGCCTCGGTTCTGTTCGGTTTCATGCGTTTTTTACGTTATGTACAAGGAGACGCTTTCACCCATCGAACAGCTTTCGCTGGGCTGGGTTCATTTGGGTGGGATTGGGGATGGGCTCGGTGGGTGGTTGCGTCCAATGAAACGAACAACCACCACCGCCAAAGCATAGTTTTCGGTGGTGCGAGAATTTTAAAATAAATCGATTAAATGGGTGATGTATCAAATAAAGAAAGCTGCCTCAAAAGGATGGCAAAGTAAGTTTATTTGTTACATAAATAGTGGTTTACAACAAAAAAAACTTAACATGAATACGAATAAGAACCCTTAAAATAATTTTCCATTTAACGTTTGGTTTTCAATCTGGAAATATTAATATGCTTCGCTGCTTGGGATATTTAAAACAAAAAGGGAAGCTACATATACCCTTGCAGAATATTCTGTAAATTATATTGGTTGGCCAAAAATAAAATCCATAAAAAATCCCAACTTCCTAACTTTAAAACAATCGTTCAGTTATATGGCACCTATCGGATATAGTCGGCCGATCCTTATGAAATTTGTTCGGTCGTATGGATTGGCCAAAAATGAAACCCATCGAAAATCCCGATCAATCAGTTATATGGCGGCTATAGGATAAAGTCGGCCGATCCCAGCCGTTCCGACTTACATGCTGCCTGCAAAGGAACGAAGGGTGTGTGCAAGGTTTCAATTCGATATCTTTAAAAATGAGAGACACGTAGAAACAGACAGACGGACAGACGGACATGCTTATATCAACTCAGGACGCGATCCTGATCAAGAATATATATACTTTATAGGGTCAGAGATGTCTCCTTCACTGCGTTGCACACTTTTGACAAAAATTGCAAGGATATAAAGATAAAGATGAGTTGATTTTCATATTCCCGTTATGATTGTTGTTCGATGTGTTTAAGTTGAAAATCAAGGAACCTTTTTATGATTTTGCTGTACATTTTTTAATCGTCCTTATAAAAGCTTTATGAAAAAGTTTTCTGATTAAAGAAGTATATATATAGGAGTATATGCATATATTTTTAAAAACAACAGACTTTTATTATTTTTCGAATAATTTTCCGATTGGTTATATGATAGCTAAATGAACAGCCCGCTCCGACTTTTTTACAACTAGCGGTAAGAAGAAAACTTTTGGGAAAGGTTTGTTAAGCTATCTTCAAAACTGAGACCCTTGTTTGCTTAGAAACGGACGGACTGACGAATGGACTGATCGATTCAGCTGATAATCCTGTTCAAGATGTATATCCTTTAAAAATACGATAAACTAAAGGCACTTATAAGTTAACTCAAGTAAGTTAGTAAATAGTTTTAAACGACAGCCAATTTACTTAGTGACGAAGCATACTCAGAATATGCGGAAGTACCAGCTGAATTAAAAATCTTGATACGAGGATATATAAGAGAGACCTAAAAATATGAAATACGTTTAACGTTAAAACATTAATTGGTTCAGCGGTTAAAATGCAAAAGTACAACTTTTGAAAACTCGACCTGTTGGGATGCTTTCACTTTTTTGAGACTACATTTTCAATTTGTTCAAAAACAAGTAAAAAGTTAAATTACAAACGACCATTTTGGATATTAAAAATAACCTTAAATCGACGATTGCACCTTCAACATAAAATGCAGTAATTATATTTTCGTGTAGGTCAATAACCAATTTCTTCAGAGAGCGATGGAATAGCCTATTTTGGTATGTAAATTAAATGTTTTGCTGGATACAAATTTAATCTTAATTATGAAAAAAATTCTTTTAATTCCCTTTATTTTGAGTGTTGGTGCCTTCTCAATTTGTATCTGTGGTTTTAAAACACATAGAATGCAACGAATGACTTGCAGGATTTCTAGTAATTTTGGTATTACTGAATATAATATTTTCGCAAGAACAGATATATGTCTTGAACGATGAGGGTTAAAACACTTTTTACCCGAGGGATCCATGTCGAATTCGCGGCATATGCGGGGTAATGGTAAAAAGTTGTCGCAAGTGCCCGTGGATGGCTGAGAATATGTACCTAATTCAATACGATTCGATCTGGTAATCAAAAGATAAGCGCGCGGAGAACCCCAGCCGGGAATCAGAGGCCATTGGGGGTTGAAGAAGTCGGATGAGCAGAATGTCGAAGGAATAACAATCAAATGATTAGAGCGGCAGTCCAACAACAACCACCACACTGGTGGGAAACTGGAATTCAAAATTGACTCGTCGATGTCGTCAGCCTCGAATCCAGTTGCTCGGCCTTTGGTTTTGACTTTGGTTTTGGTTTTGGTTCAGGTTGGGTTTCGGTTTCAGCCTCAGCTTCAGCCTCAGCTTTGCCATACGGGTTGAGCGACGGGCTTGGGACTTGTTTCGCACATAAAGATACAAATGTATCTGCGCCAGACAGCAAATGGCGTATATAAAATGATTGGACATGAGTCGGTGTACGTGGGTAGGTATGTGCGCCAGTGTGTGTATGTCGGGGCCCAGTCGGGTGGTTGTTCCGACCAAGCTCTATGGCCGCAGAGCGAGTGAGATGGGGCGATGGCGACGGCGACGGCGACTCGGGGCCGAAAGAGAGGCAAGATGCACGCGCGTTTTATGACCCGCCGCGTTGCCTTTTGCCGCCGCTTCCCTTGGCTTTTCATCTTTTGGCATTGGGTCTTCACTTCGCCCGGCATTCTCATTCTCATTCTCATTTCCTTGGCGTTCTCGCAAGTGTTGCCATGTTTGCCGGGTTTACGACCTTCTGGTTGGCGTTCTTTTCCCACTTTTCCCTTCTGGGGTCTCAGTTCCCAGTTCTCCGTTCTCTGTTCTTCGTTCTCTGTTCTCTGTTTTTGTGCCATGCTCACCTCGCATCCTCACATCCTCGCCGGCATCTCGGCAACCACCTCCGTGTATCTGTATCTATGTATCTGCGTGTCTGTATCTGCGCCTGTCCGCCGACTGCGCTGCAACCGAGCCGAGCGAACCCAACCGCCTTGTGTCAAAGTGAACAGCAAATATTATTTTTTGGACACTTTGCCATCAGGTCGCCGTCGCGTACTCGTACTCGTCCTCGTCCTCGTCCTGCTCCCCGTTCTCGGTGGCCATTGTCCTGCGGAGCTCCTGGAGTTCCAGTGCCCGTTGTCGCATTCGAGGTCCGACTGTGGGTCCCGGAGCCACGGCCTTTGTCTGCGGCGGCAGAGTGCACCAATTGTGTTTAATTGAATCCGACAACAAAAGCCAGAAACGCTGCAAAAGAGAACCCAAAAGTATTCCAAAAAGTATGCCCAAAGTATAAAAAGATAATGGAAGAAGTGGCTGTAAATCAAGAAGAGCCGGTTCGGGTTCGTTTGTTGCCAAAAATACAAGAATTAATTATAATAATGACAAAGAACAAGCACTTCGACGACCCCACTCCGCGTCCGCATCCGCATTCGCATCCGCATCCGCGCGCGTTCGGTTGGCCAATTGTGAATATGGATTACAATTTCGCGTGTGCGAGCTGAGGAAACAAAAAAAAAATATGGAAAATGGAAAAAAGCAAAGGAAAAAATGAATCTACCAGTATTTCCGCCTTGCGGTTTGGCAGCTGACGGGCCGGTGGGGCCATTGGTGCTGCTTTGGACTGGGATCCTCGAGTGCGCGGGGCGTGACTTCAATTAAAGTGATTTGTGGCCTCCGTTTCTGACATACGAGACGTAAATAGCGGCCCTGAAGTATGGTGCCGCTGAAATATGAATATTGGAACGCAGTCCCCGGCCCATCGGCCAAACAATCGCCAGTCACGCATCCCCACCTGAAACCGCCTCCAAGTTGGCTAATATATGGGCTTCTTTCTAGATAGGTGAGTACATCCGATACAATCAATTGCTATTTAAGATTTAACGATTAAAATTTAACGCATATCCTAAACGTTAATTTATATTTATACGTATCTAAGAGATTGGTATAACTCATCTCATCTCTCATATAATAGTCAATCAAATGGGCTACAATAAGAAACCAATAATCAATCAGCAATTAAAAATCTATTTATCTTTTTCACCACATTAATTTTAAAGCAGTGAGCTGTTCAATTTGAGCTTGAATAAATTAAGCTTATCTTAAAATACACATTATCGTATTAATGGTTATAGATACATCCGCGCGTTTTGAGTTTTCTTTCCATAATTTATATGAAATAGGGCGAAGTAATGCCGACTTAAACAGATAACTAAATGTAAAATCAGCAAATGCAAGAGCACCCAATTAGCTAACAAATAAATACTATTGTATAAGGCCTATTTGCCATTTAAGCTATTGGATATAGTTTCCATTTCATTTACATTATTTAAACTATTCGAGTTGTTAGAAATGCCCTAGGCGGTTTTCGCTACCTAACTCCTTGCATTCTCTCTTCTCCTTTGGGCTTGTCAAGAATCGCCACTAGCTGGAATGAATAAATTACCGACAGTTTCCGGAAGGAGAGCAACATTCCGATGTCTGGCAGGTAGAGAGCTGGGTAAAGGCTTCCACTCCTCCTCTGAATGATTTATGGAAGTGCGAAAAGAAGCCCGCGGCGAGGGCGCGCAGAGTGACGCAAAAAGCGGCCGAGATCCGCAGGATTTGGCAGGATTATGCTGATGACAATCCGGTTCGGGTCACTTGCAGACCCCGTTCGGATCCGTAGAAATTTCTTGTTTTGGCGAAAGCGTGAAGGCGGGTCATTTATGACCACATCATAAACAGTTTACAGCAGCTCGGGCCTCAAAATATTTTGGTCAGAACAAAGGGCCAGTCGAGACCGTGGCTAATTCCCGGTCGGAGATCGGACAAACGGGTTGGGAGAAACTAGAGCAGCTCAGCTGGAGGTGGGCGATGATGTAACTGCAACATATGGCACTTCCTGCTCTCCGAATCGAAGAGCCAATGAATACATAAAGCCCATAATTGATGACGTGCGGAATGGTGTTCTGTCACAATTTAATTGCCCCTTTTCCTCGACCGGGGAAAGTCACCCACCCACGAAAAGCGCGTGCTGAGCCCCCTTCGACAAATGGCGGCAGCAATAATGGGAATATGTTTCAGAAGAACATAAATGTAGAGACATGTGTACGGTACATGCAGGCAATCGTGTCACCACCGCCCCGCCTACACTCATTAAAATTCGAAGGGCCCAAGAGCATCCAGGGATGTGGGTTCGGTTCGTATCGGTTCGAGGGTTCGGTTCCCGGGGACCATCTTATCAGTTCCGCGGAACAGGCGGCCCAAAAATAATCTAATTTATTCCGACACTTTCATAAAAAGAGACCAAAACTCTCGGCAACAAAGCAAGACATTATCGCCGCATAATTAATGCCACATGTTGCAATGCGCTGCAGCGAGACAATAAAAAGCCAGTCGGTCGCTCTTTTTTCCCGGCTTTGGAGCCATCATGATGGCGTTGTCGCCTAGGCCGCGGCACCCATGAGATATCATAAAGCCATCCCGCTTTTAATTGCCGCCTAGAACGACTCGCCTCGTTTCCATATTGAGCGCTGGAACTAATTTGCATAAATTTATCCGAATGAAAATCAGCGACGGAAAAGCCTGAAAATCCTGTCCTGAGTCGTTTCCTCCATCCACCAATTTTTACCGTCCGCTTTCGCCTCCATCTTCGCCGGCATTGCGCATGCGCCACTTTGCCATCGGTGGCCATTATAAAATGGGCGGAGCCAAGAGCCGTTAGCCCACCACGGACTCAGCGGCCGTGGTGAGTTACCCTTGTTGCCTGCGGTGTGGTGGAAAGGAAGCAGACTGTGCAGGATGCCGAACCCCTAGGTATCGGGTGTCCATGACAGTTTTAAGCAGTTCCGAGAATATTCAGTGCCCGCATCATGTCCTTTAAAACTCACATCCTTTGAATTTTAAAATTTTGGTTTGCTCTTTATCTAAAAATAACTGAAATCTATGTTTTTGACTTCTAACATTTTAAACTATTTAAGCCACAAGGAATCTCATTTAGACAGATATTAAAGATGTTAAAAATGAATTTTTTATTTTGTTTACGAAATAGTGTTTTTAAAATGAGAAAAAATAAAAAGCAACGTATAAAGGTTTGAGTAAATTTATAACATCGCATGTTCCGCTTCGGTTTAATAATATTTGTCATTTTTAAAATTTTAATTGTAAATGCCGTAACTCGTATTGTAAAAAGAGAACGTGGCTTTGGTATAAAGTGAGTAACAGTACAAATATTATCGATTCGAAGATGATATATGGTTGAATCAACCAACTTTAGCCATATTTTTACTATAACAATATTGCACCGTGCTTGGACAATTGATTTAGCCGTAACAATTGTTACTTTATTACATCTTGAACATGTAATAAGCTAATGTATTGTTGTAAAGTAGGATTTTTGTCTTATTTTGAATTCTAGGCTTATAATACCTGGTTCCACAGCGTCATGAAGACCTCAAGTCTTACACTGAAATATTTACATAATCTTTACTGTAGTCCTTACATACTTCCATTCTATGAAGAAATAAGGCGCACCAACATTTTCAAATAAATTTGCTTAAACCAACCGATCTTTTACCAATAATTACAGTAAATGAATATTTATATCAGGACAAAAAATTACTTCAAATTTGTTATCACAAAATTAATCTCAAACCATTAGTAAGTGTGTACACCATTATTTCGGATAGTAGGAAACTAAGGACTATCATAAATGAGCCTTTGTCGCAACTTATATCAACAAGAGAGCGCGGAACACTAGTACCAGTCGGGAATACATAGCAAACCGTTTTCACAGTTACTTTACCGATAGTTACAGTAAGCGATTAACAACTAAAACAAGTGGCTACCATAAAAAAATTTTAAATTTATGTGCAAGTTTGTTGATAACTAACAACAATTTTTTATGTGTAATAAACAGTGACAATGCTTCATGAAATATTCAACTTGTGATAATCACACGAATCATGAAACATGCGACATACAGCATAAAATGCATCTTCTTAAATCTGCAATAAACATCCAACACACCACATTCTAAATTAAGCATGCATTATGTTGAACGTGTATTGCTGTTATCATGACAAGCTATCATTATTTAGTATTTCAAACTTTCTATACCCTTGCAAAGTGTATTCTAATTTTAGTCAAAAGCAGTGAATGAGACATTTCCGAACCTATAAAGTATATGTGTTCTTGATCAGCACCACCACGAGAGTCGATGTCCGCCTGTCCGTTAGTCCGTCTGCTTTTACACAAACTAGTCTCTCAGTTTTAAAGATATCTGCTTAAAACTTTCTTTAAAGTTGTCTTTCTTTTGCATGTAGTATATAAGTCGGAACGAGCCGGATCGGACGACTATATCATATAGCTCCCATAGGAGCAAGGGTATAAGAAAGTATAACTTTGGGATTTGGTAATATTTAAATACTATGGCATTACGGTTTTAGTAAATTAAAATCGGACATCTATATCATATCGCCCCCATAGGAAAATTAAAAAATTAAAAAAATTGTATTTTGCTGTTTTTGTATTTATCAAAAGATATAGTTATTATTATCGAAATGTAGTCGTTTTGTAATAACTGCAAGGATATATAAACTTCAGCTTGCCAAAGTTTGCTTACTTTTTTTTTTTTTCTAAAATTTTTTTAATTTGTTTTGTCAAAATAGAGCATATGTTTTCTAAAAAAATTTGGATTGTTATAAAATTCTTCTTATGGCTCGATGATAAAAGACTTAATTTCACAAATCTTCAAAATTTTAAGAAAAATGTATGTATTTAAACATTCTTAGTGGCAACGCACAATATAATTTTTTCTTGCCTTATTTAGAATCTAAACTGTATTTTTTTAGTCAAACAGTTTATTACTGAACTGGGAAGAACTAGGAGTGAATGTTAGTTATTTCACTATCTGAAAACAATATTTGTAGTACAAATAATGATTTTGTTTTAATTCTTAAAACTTTGTTTTATATTTAATTAAAAATTATCGGGACTTAACTAGTTATCGATGCTTGTCTACGCGCTTTTTACGCCCGCCCCCGCGGGGCGACCTCTCGTGTTGGTGTTTGACTTCCTAGTTCCGCATTCCCAGGGCCAGATGGCGCTGCGAGGCAAGACGACGGGGAATTGAAAGTTCTCTTTCTCTTCAGAGAATCGAACTCTTCGCTCGCTCACCAACACAATTGCAGCACGGAGTTTGCCTAAGTGTGGGTGAGTCTGATTTGAATGTGGTCGTGTTGGTTGGCGTTGACGTCGACGCTGGATTTCTGCTTTCTGAGCAGAAAAATGCTGTCAAAAACATTCCGAAACAGTATTTGAAATATGGATGGAAATCCGCTCCAGTTCTCAGATCATCCAGAAATGGGAAATCAGATTCCCAGTTGGGTCCCTAATGAGCTCACATATCCACAATCCTTCATATATCTTCTCATTCGAAATAATTTATGGAACCAATGACCAACTCACATCCATTTCACAAATTAAAATTGGTTGCTATCGCTTGTTTTTCCAATTGATTTATGGCCCACATAAAAAGTTGAATGGGAAAAACTCGGCAAAGAAAAACCGAACACGTGTGCTAAACTATCAAAGAGAAAGAAAATTTGATATTAATTAAACAAATTGTAAGCCGTCAAAGTCGGAAAGGAAAACTATAATTCATATGCCGAAGAATTGATTTTCTTGAGTGAGACGTTAGGCGGAGGTTCGATGGGAAAGTCAAGTAGCCAATAAATTTGGTCGGCAACGGGTCTGGAATTTTAAAACAAAACAAAAAGAAAACCTCGACTGATTACAAATGAAAATGCACGATTCAAGTGCAGCACTTGTCCAAGTAGAATCTTTATGGATTCCGTCGCT